ATTCAAGTAAACACTGAATTTGTGTCTTAGTCAAAGATGTTACTGCTAAGGTGTTTTGTTTACAACTGTCCTGTTATAGTGGTAAAATGTTTGCACCTCAGTCGTGTAGTAACAACCAACAACAGCAATATTTAATTTTTTTGGGGGGGGGGCAGAGTTTTGGAGTTATGTGTTTTTACACATTTGAAATCATCAATCAATCATTGTTAGACCACCATTAGAAACCTGGATGCACTGGACGGAGGAGCAGGAGTCATGGATGCGCACTTCTGATGGATACCATACCAGGACGAAACGGCCGTCCAGTGCTTCCAGGTTTCTAATTGTGGTCTAACAATGATTGATTGATGATTTCAAATGAGCAATATTTATGCTTTAGCGTTAGTTGAATTGTGTAGTATAGACAATAATGTGATTTAAAACAATTTGTCCCTTTTATAAATTTTGAGAGAACAGTAAGAAGACGTAATTGATCTGAAAAATGTGATGTATTTGCGCTATACATTTCGAACAATCTGGTCACACATGTACACCTGTCAAGGCATTTTATATGAAGATTCATAAAAGGTCAATTAGATAATAGTTCAAATAGACATAAGGTGATAATTGTAAATAAAGGAGAGAGATAATTAACATAATATGAAAAGAATAAAAAAGGATAGGGAATAGTCACATTACCCTAGACTTAAAGATTACCAAGGTAAATTCAAGGTTTTAACAAATTATTTCTATACATATAAGGGGAGTTTTAATTAACGAATAGCCAAGGTCTCCATTAACCTCAAAATTCATCCTTCAACATTTCTATACGTGACCTATGGAGTTCAACCCTGTCGGGTGTAGGCAGTAACCACCAAAGACAAATGGGTGAGGTAGCGCAAAATCCCTAGATCAGTCAGAGTTAGACATTAACAACGTTGGATGCCGGCCCAGTGGACCGATGGTTAGGCGTTCGCCTACAATGCCAAAGGTCCCGGGTTCGAATCCTGCGAGATGCAGGAGTCGTGGATGCGCACTGCTGATGAGTCCCATACCAGGACGAAACGGCCGTCCAGTGCTACAGGGTTTCTAATGGTTGTCTAAGAATGATTGATTGATGATTTCAAATGTGTAAAAACACAAACCTCCAAAACTGTGCCCCAAAATTTCTATACTATGTTTTGAAGGCTGTTTTGATGTCTTGATGCGTGACCAGATTGTTCGAAATAAGTACAGCGCAAATATATCACATCATTTGTCAGATCAATTACGTCTTCTCACTGTTCTGTCAAAAGAATGTGAATACCATTCTATGAATTCTACATTTCAGTGCATATGAAACTTATTAATTCTTCGTAAACTATCAATTTAAAACTACTGTGTTTAAAACAATCAATGGATAATATATCCTTCACCAACGGTCATTGTTGATATCCCATTGTTTAGCCGCAATTTTTTTAGAAAACTCACGTTTTCAACTAGTTTGTACATGAAATTTTTTTAGTGCTCAAAATTATTGTAGATATTTTCAATGTTTTATAGAAGTGTTTTTTGTCTCATGTTTCTACGATGTGCAACAAATAAGATTATATGTTATGTGGATCACAACTATTGTCATTGAATATTGAATTTTCATGGGGAAAATATTACTTAAATTTGCAGTAAAATAAAATTCCATTGATGAGAATGAGAGACATTTTTAAGACGAAGTTAATATACCTACAAATAACGTTATACATTTGAGAAACTTGATATTTTTCAAAATCACATCCTAGTTTTTATTGGATTTCAATTGGATTTTTACTTTTCACAAAATCTATACTCTTTTACTTACTATAAACTACAGGTACACTTTGCCTGAACAACAAATTCCCCAGATTCTGTCTAAGTTTTTAAAAATATCAATCAAATCTTAGACCGATGGTTAGAGATCTTGAATGACATGGCTCGAAATCGTTTGCAGTAGAGCAGGTGCATCCATTTTTTGGCTTCTCTTCAATCCTAATCTTCCGAATTTCAGGTCACATTTATCTTTCACTCTTTAAATTTATTCCACTGAATTATACTTCTTGAATAAAATCTTCGAATCCTAATCTTCTCTTCATTACAGCTAATACTTCTGCCATCTTTAATAGAATGGGATCTAAATTTACAACTGCGTCTTTATACTAATATGGTATGAAAACATAAACTGATATATGTACGTACGAAGTTCGACGTTGTAACTGACTGACTGAGTGAGTGACCGAGACGTTCTTTATTAAAAATAACGAGGCTTGTAACCGAAACGTAGGTGCAAGTGATATTGTCTAAATTTTTTGTAGAAATTTGATATATTTTCTACTGAATGCCTTCAATCTCATTGTACTACAAGATAAATTTATAATATCCCAATTCCTGGCATTTCACACAATTCGTACGACCCAGTTCTGTGTGCTATTCAGGGATTTACATTTTCATATGCAATCGACTTTTTAATGAACCATCTTTGAGCTGACCTAACAGAGGTAAGGAGTTCGCGCGCAAGACTGAAGGTCCTGGCTTCGAATCCTGCGAGTAACAGGAATTGTGGATGCGCACTTGCTGATGAGCCCATACCAGGAAGAAACAGTCGTCCAGTGCTTCCAGGTTTCTAATGGTGGTCTAACAATGATTGGTTGATAATTTCAATGTATTTAACAGTAAATAATTTGAGTTTCAGTATATTGCCTGAATGAAGCATTTAGTCTACAGGATGCTTCATTTGTGTACTCTTGGCTAATCTCTCAAGATAGGTGGGAAAATACATAACTCTTTTTTTATGTAATATGTTAAAAGAGGGTTCTACATCTTAAATATGAACTATGGTGTCAGTTTTCTTGCGAATATTCATATGATCTCATTAAAATCCCTAATTTTTTCTTCATTTTAGTGTTATAGAGATGGTAGTTTTTACCTTGAAGTCGTGAATGAATCACCATTAGTCAATAATTAGAAACGTGGAAGCACTAAACGGCCGTTTTGTCCTGAAGTATGGGTCTTATCAGTAGTGCACATACACGACTCCTGCAGCTTGCAGGATTCAAACCCAAGACCTTCAGTCTTAAGCACGAACGCCTAACCTCTGTTATTAAGTTTGAATTGATCAACTTTTTGCTTGAAATGACATCTCACTAAGTTGTATGATTTAAATAGTTTATTTTAAACCTATTTTAATCATATACTAGTGTATTTCATTTGATTTCTGATATCTATGAATAGAAAGGTATTTCAGTTTACTATATACCATAAGTTTATATTGTTATTATTAAAAAAACAGTTTGAATTACCCCATAGCTGATGTTCAAGAGTGAATTTTAATCAATCTCAGTTGATGTATATGCATCCTGGTTTAATTACCCTGACACATAATCATCTTATCACAATAGATTTTAGCCAGCAATACAATTCAGGAAGCATATTTCATCTCATTTTATAACTCTTCGATCAAATGTAACTCCATATTAAGTGGAACAGAGTAAAGCATATTCAGAATGCAATTCCTAACACCAAAACAACATTTTCTATAGACTATCAGTAATAAGCTTTTAACTTGTTTCATTTCATAGCGACTACTAGGAAATGAATAGCGAAAAAAAACAATCCAATCCTACCCTTAATTCAATGGTATTGATTTTTATATCCATGTATTATTATGTACAGTTTGTCGCCCAGATTACATAATAAAAGTACAATTATTATCATAATAATAATAATAATAATAATTATTATTATTATTATTATTATTATTATTTCTCCATGATGTATACAATGAATTCGATTTTTACGGCATCATTTTTATTATTGTCCATACTGGTAGTCTGAAATTTTATGCTTTCATAACTAAGTTCGGAAATGCAATACTTATTATATCATAACAAAAATGATTTGCCTTCAAGTGTTTAACTAATGACGACGCCTTAGTATATATATATTATGATGTAATTAATTTCTCATTAGATGAGATTTTCATAATTGTTCGTAAATAAGTTTGTTCATTTGGTCAATTTATTTTTCTGCTTACAGTGAAATGACTTTTATTTTTTCGTAGAAATTTTTATCAGTTTGTGAAGGTTATGAAAATGCAACTGCTTTTAAACTGATAAACAAGTAAATAACAAGTAAATAGATAACTACACTCTTATTATCAGAGAGATAAAAAATTTAAAAAAGTCATATGTTCTAAGTTTTTGTTTTCATACAAGTCGACTACCTGGTTAGGGTCCGCGAGATGATAATAATCGATGGTTAGAGACCTTGAATGACATGGCTCAAAACCGTTTGCAATGGCGCAGGTGCATCCAATCTTTGTGTTCTCTCAAACCTTAATCTTCTGTATTCTTCAACACCTCTAGTTTTGTCTTTATAAACTTATTTCACTGAACAATATCTTCTAATCCCAACCTCTCCGATTACTTCTAATACCTTTACTACCCATTCTACTATTGGATTTGAATTGACAATTACATCTCTGTGCTGATGTGGTATGGCCACATGAACTGATGTACTTACGTACGTACGAAGTTCTACGTTGCATCTGACTGACTGACTGACAAGTTTAATTGTTAGCTTACCAACATAGTGGTACTACGAGTTGGAAAGTTCATGGGATTACTTGTTTGAAATCAAAAAAGTTAGAAGTAGTAGTAGACGGATATCTAGGATAATTTTAACTTAACTTCTTAACTTAACTTACGTATGTTACCTCCAAAGGAGCATAGGCCGCCGATCATTTTTTTCCAACTTACTCTGTTCTGGGGCTTCCATTTCCAGTTCTTTCCAACTTTTTGTTCATTTTCCTCATATCTTTCTTTATCTCTCGGTATAATGTATTCTTTGGCCTTCCTCTTCTCCTTTCACCTTGAGGGTTCCATGTGAGGGCTTGTCTTGTGACGCAGTTAGGGGCTTTTTGCGGTTTATGTCCTATCCACTTCCACCGCTTATTCCGGATAATTATATTATTTCTCTTAAGTTCTTTAAAAAGTATAGAAAGTGGAAATACGATGGTGAGTATCATTTTGTTATGCCAGTCAGTTAGTTACAACACTGAACTTCGTTCTTGAGTACATAAGTTCAAGTTGTCATACCGCATCGGCACAGAGACGCAACTGACAGTTCAAATCCAATAGTGGTAGAGATAGTAGAAGTATTAGCAGTAATGGAGAAGATTAGGGTTCGAAGATATTATTCAAGAAGTAACATTCAGTGAGATAACTTTAAAAAGAGAATGATAGAGGTGATGCGGAATTCAGAAGATTAGAATTTGATAGAAGACAAAGAATGAATGCATCTACGCCATTGCAAACAGTTTTGAGCCATGTCGTTCAAGGCCTCTAACTATCGGTTACTATCATCTCGCGGACTACAACTAGGTAGCCTACATCTACCAACATGACTCAGTCCACTTGTCAGTGATTTCATGGATTTGTGCCATGTTTTGGTCTGGCCGCCCCTAACTTTCTTCCAACCTACTCCTACACCACAAAACATAGCTCGACGAGGCATTCGGTGGTTGGACATTCGTAACACATGTCTGAACCTCATCAACTGATGAAGTTTCAATACTTCATCTATTCATTTGCTATCCCTACCGAGTACTCGTTTCCTAACGACAGCATTGCTTACTCGGGTGTCCCAGGATATACGAGCAATCGAATACTAATACCCTACGGATGTCCTCTACTCTTACCGGCCATGTTTCGCATCCATATAGCAGGACGGAGCAAACTGCTGCGCAGTACACATTTTTTTTATGTAATCAAACCTATTATTTCATTCATTATTAATTTATCCCTCCAGCTAGTCTTAAATTATCAGATCACCTTTTAATGAATCTTAATATTTGAAAGAATAAAAGTAGGCAATAACTCAAAATACTTGTCTAATTCAAAGTTTTTCTGATAACCAGTCAAACAATTTCAAACTTTTACATCATAATTTTAAGAAAACTTTCAGCCTACATAGCAGAATTCCCAGTATTAAATCATATTCTGAACATTTTTAAACAAGAAACGGCGATCTGTTTCACGTGCTACGTTTTAAATGTACAATACCAGTTGTTATTATAAACTCAATACTTCATGCATTTGACCTTGAACTATGTCATTTTATCTTTCTTTCATTTGTTTTTTTTCCCTTTCTAGAAATTCTTCACAAGAAGTGTATTTGATTTACGCATTGAACAATTAACTTTAAATTTAACAAATCATTCAAACAAATCAATATTTACAGAGAAATGCTTCACATCTAGCATTGCTAATCAATGTCATTTTATTTTAGGCATATGTATCACTGAAACAAAATTTTTAAATAATCTAAATCAACGTAACCAATTATCGATGATGACAATGATGACGACGGCGATGATGATGAAAAGACCAATTCTAATCAATCGTCAAGATAATTTAATTTATACTTACAATAATAATCGAACATCATCATTCTCATGGGAAATGTATCATGATTTATTACCAGTCGATTGTGAAATTGGACATGAACAAATTTTAACCGGTTTACTTAATATAAATACATCGATTAATTATGTAAATTTAACTTATCATATAAAATTAAGCACAATGATAAAGGTAAGTATGATAACAATCTTAGCTGTTTTTTTTTTAATTTGTACGTTTATTGATTTACCAATGTGAATTAAGACATTGATCGGGTTGTGAATGTTGTTGGAATTCATTGGATCTTGGGATTGTAGTGTAGACACTGTGTTTGAATAACTGGCTAGTACTATGGAAGCCACTGTCATCCTAAATAATTTAGTATCAACAGCTCTGTAAGATACATGTGTGTTGTGGACGTTAGATCCTCAGAATTCACTTGATAAACATCCTAATTTAGGAACTTATTTATGGGCCGATCAGTTGACCTTGAGATTACATTTCCCACCAGGAAAATCCTTGACTGTCATTGGTTGATGTATTATTTTAGTACGGTTTTTTCGTGTCTCTCCCAAAGACATTTCTATCATGTATAAATAAACTCAGTTTGTCTGCCTGCAGACCTCATATTTCCTGGGTACATCTAACTGACTCAAAATAAACACAATGTATGGGTCAGTAGTGTACTTTTCTATATCAACATGTTTCATAACAATCGAGAGATAATAGATCAATCACAACAGTCAAATTAGTTTCTTAAAGTGCTATATCAAAGATTACAAAAATAAAGCTCATTTTTATCGTTCAGAAAATATACTGAATTCATCTCGAAATTCATTTAGTAAAACTTCTGTCCTTTTGAAAACTGTCGCTTATTAACTTGACTCTGTGGTTTAAAAAGGCTTTGCTCATCTGACGATATCAGTTTATAATGCTTCTATTACATAAAAGGTCGTGTGCGTCTCCACTGCCAATGAGTTCTAAAGTACAATGAAACTACTATCCAAAGCTTCTTAGTTCCTATTCCTTCAATTACTTACTTATATACTTGCCTATTTACGTACTTACCGACTTGCCTACTTACTTATTTACTTACCTACCTACTTACTTACTTACTTACTTACTTATTTATTTACTTACTTACTTACTTACTTACTTACTTACTTACTTACTTACTTACTTACTTACTTACTTACTTACTTACTTACTCACTTACTTACTTACTTACCAACTGACTGTTACTCGTTCACTAACGGATTACAATTATTTATTCAACAGATCAATATTTCCTTAATAACAAACAAAATCAATTAATTCTCTATTAAAAAGAAAAGAAAATTGATCACAGCATGAAGTCATCATTCATAATCAATACCTCATTATCACTTTCATCATCATCAACAAGGGTGATGGAATGAAAAAGTGCACGTACTTCTCTTTCACTAATACATATGTATCCACTATGCATATATATATATATATATATATATATATATATATATATATTTACAAACATTAATTTATTTGTTAAATGTCTATCCTATACCAATTTGAACAGATGGAAATTGACACATTGAATTCATTCATATTTATTATGTTTTGCCTGAATTCTACTTTATTTGTCTTAGATGATTTATTTTCTCCGCTTCTTTTTTTTGCAAGTTTTAAATATAAATAAAAACACATGTTCTTTCAATAGATCTATAATGCATTCTGTATGAAATTCAAAAAAAGTTTACATTGTTTTTTTTTACGTGAGGTTTGTAAAGTTTTCATTTTTTAAAACAGTATAATGAATATGTAATTTTACTGATTACCACGTTAATATACTAGTCAGTATTATAATGTAGTCCTTTGAAGAAATATTTAACATGAAAGGTAATATAAAGAAAGGTTTATATTACATGTATGTAAGATATAAAATTATTCATTTGATGAAAATTTTTTTATTCAACTTGATGAAAGTTCTCATGTTTAAAATAATAATAATACGATGAGGAAGTTTCTCTGAGTTCTAGTGAGAAGTCATGACCAATGGAATTCAACCCTATTCGGGTTTGGAGCAGTACCCACGGAAGACAGTGGATTGATCGGAGTTAAACATTAACATCGTTGGATGCAAGCTGAGTGTTCTAGAGTTTAAGCGTTCACGAGCAAGACTAAAGGTCCCCGGGTTCGATTCCTGAGGGTGAGAGTTGTGAGTGCGCACTGCTGATGAGTTGTATACTAGGATTTAACTACCGTCCAGTGCTTCCAGGTTTCTAATAGTAGTAGTCTAACACATGATAGATTCGTGATTTCAAAGGAACTCAAAAACCTTCACTACCCTATAATGAAAAATATGGCTTTGATAGAAGAAGTTATTGATTAGAATTTAAACTACTGAAAATAAGATAACTAAGGAAACATGTAAATAGGACACAAGTGAAATCAATAGAGCGTTTTCCAACAGTAATAGCTGAAGATATACCAGTTTGGTCAACTAAATTGAACTGAACGCTTTAATTTAATTAGTTAGAAGTGAATAAATGTTTAAAACTTACAGATAAATTTAATGAAGCATCTGATCATCAATTATTAACTTCACCATTGGTGCCATTAAACTGGTGATTTCTGTCCTATTTGTATAAAGATCAAGTCAAAACTAAGATTACACTGACCATAGAATAACAAAGTAGTAGTATACTGAGTATATGAACAGTAATTCATTCATGAGTAACCTCTTATTAGGTCCTATGATTTGTGTTGAGGAGGTGAGATCCCCAGAACTCGATTGGAAAAGATCGTAATTTTGTAATTTATTTCTGAAATTTTGAATTTTTATGTTTTCGCGCCGAAGACGCTTAGTTGACTTTCAGCTTACATTCCCCCTTCAGATAATCTTTGACTGTCATTGGTTGATGGATTATTTTGATACGCTATTTTGTGGCTCTCACCATAGGCATTTTATCATTGTACAAATAAGCTTGAGTTGTGTGTTTGTGATCCTCGTACTTACTGCCATAGATTAGCATCTGTTGAGCTTACACTTATCGATAAATGATTATTGATATTGGGTTTTCTTATTCAAGGAATCCTTCGAATTATGCCATCATTTTAAAATTTCGCAGACTTTTTGACATTGACCTTAATTTTAAAATCATCTGTAACTGGCTATTCAGTGTTATCTGTAATGCAGAATAAAGATGTTTGACATAATAATAGTTCAATAAATCAGTGTTTTCTTTAGTTCTCGTTCTAATGAAAAATCTTATGTACAAATCATCTTTGTCTTAAGTCTATTTAATTCACTAGGATTATCAACTCGTATTTCTTACTATCCGTTTAGATACTCAAGAAACTTTTGACCGATTTCAAGAACGTCGATCACAAACCAAATGTGATTTGAAGTATCCTTGATTTGTATTTCTAGTTTATAACCATTAGTAAATGAACACCTGCGGCTTAGTATGAGGCATGTTTTTCGTTGAGATTCATAGGCCAGTGTTTGATACTGTTACAGCTAAGTATGATGTGACCAAGTTATTTGGCGATATTTCAAATTGTGAGTTTTAATAACTGAGTGATGATTAGCCCAGTATATGTTGTCTCTAATGGGGAAATCTTACATCGAGTACATATCACCGATCATACCAACTATGCAATATTACATATATATACATCTAACCGATGCAATTTCAATTATTCAGTAGTCACAAAACTCTTAAACTGAAAATAATAATGTAGTTACGAATGACTAGTTTCGAGATGCGGTTCCTAGAGTTCCAATTTCATGTTCAATCACCATATGTAGTGAAAGATGGTCACGCAGCTGAATCTAAACATATACGCCACTCCTGGTCGGTTTAGGTCCTATGTAGGACTCCTAATGAGGCAGTGGACAAAATAGCTATCCATTTTTTCTTGGTTTTCAATCATGGTTTAAAATTAAACAGTCAAGAAAAGTTTGACAAAGCAATAAATGAATCCTGATGTACTTTTGGGAAAATGGTAAATGCAAAGCAGTCAATTAAAATTTGACGGAACCTAACTCTACTTAATTACAATAAATAATACTATGAACTAGTATTTAATTTTTCACTAACATATTGTAATTTGAAATCATGAATCGATCAATGTTAGACCACCATTAGAAACGTGGAAGCACTCGATGGCCGTTTCATCCTAGCATGACACTGTGAATCGACTACTCTTGCTATTCGCAGGATTCGAACCCAGGACCTTCAGTCTTGAGTGCGAACGCTTAATCGATTAACTAAAGAGCCGGCATCCAACAGTATTAGTGTCTAACTTCATAAAAATCAGCAACACTCTATGTGTTCATTTTACTGTTTGGAAAAAGTTTTATCTTGAAAAGTAAGATTTTGTAAAGCTCTAAAACGTACATTTGTAAATATAGTTCATGCACTTTGTATAACTCACTGAATAACTGAAGTCAGTAGCCTAACGGTTGACAAATTTGGATCTTGAGGCAAAAAGTTATTTGTTCCAGTCTCGTTATAGACAGATTAACACTAGTATGCAAACCTATTTAGTTAACCAGTCTCAAAAAGGACAAAATACAAATCCGTAATTCTACTTTCAGCTATCGTTTAAATTTAGTTAAAAACTTTAGATACAGATAAATGAATTTTGATAAATATTTTGAAGATATCTTTTCTTTTGAATCATTCTTTTGGTTCTATATTCATTCTTGTCAAATTTATTTTTCGTTATTTTTCTCTATTCTTTTTAATATTTTTTAGCATAATATAAAATTGTTATTCAACGTGTATCATCTTACATCGAATGGAGGTAATGAACAAGATGTAAATCTGTTTACTTTGTACTTTTATCTTACTACTGAATACTTCATTTCAGTAGTGTTTTTTTTTATTGATAAGGGGGTTTTATGGAGGGCTTGAATTTTTTGCAGTTTGTTTCATGAACTACTGTTACTTAGACAACCATTGAAAACCAGGAAATATTTGATAGCTGTGTTTGTCCTCATATATGACTGCCTAACAGTATGAATTTACCACTCCATCTGCGACAGAACACAGAAAATTTAAGTTTATTGCAGAGCACTTAACATTTAGACCACGTAGTTGGGATACAATGATGAATATTTATGACTTCAATTAATTTGACTGAAGGTGTAATAACACAACAGAATAATATGAATGAATTTACGAATTGTAAGGAATTCATATTATTTAACCTCATTTGTTGTTCTGGCTTTATTCATTCAATTCACGATATTTAGCAAACAATTCTTGTCTCCTTGTCTCACTACTGATACGGTCAACACCACCGGTCACTTTTTTCTCATTAGAATTCCTGCAGCAACCTATCTGAAATCATCTATCAATGAACACAAAAGGTCAACACTACTATAATTACGTCTAGTCTGTTTAATAACCTGTTGGTTGGTGTAAACTTTTATTCATCACTTTAATCTACTTGAAAGTAGTATCCAAAAGAAGGAGAAACATTTCAAAGTTAAGGATCAGAATATGCAATTTTAAGACTTTAAAGATGATATTTGTATATAAACCACATAGTGAAGATGAAGTGTTGATTTTTCCGTTTGAAACAAGTAAATGTTTAAATCATATTGAATAACACTAAAGAGAGTGTCTACAATGCTGACATCAACGTTATAGTACATAGTCAACTCAAAAACTTAAGTAATTTAATACTACCTTATCTAATTATTCAGTCACAGTGACATCATTTGAATTATAGATAATTCTTTATATAACTGTTGATCCGATCGATTCTAACGATATTCAGAACAATTTCTTGTTTGCAAACTCAATCATAAGTTAATTTGTTCATTTAGTTGAACACGTCAATAATAAAATCAAAGTAAATGTTTGTAATTTAATCAACAGATACTTTGCGAAAGTTTTTCATATTTTTGTCAAGATGTCCGGAACATATATCATAAGAATTTACATAATATATTGTACCAAATGTTGTAATATATAAGGATGAAAACGAAATCACTGATATTCTTTGATCTAACGAAGTTTTCATTAGAAAGAATTAGTGAGAATATTATTTATGTCGGGGACGTTAGATCCTCAGAACTCATTTGGAAAAAGTCCTAATTTTCTAATTTATTTCTGAAATTTTGAATTTCCATGTTTTCGCGCCTGTTGACCTTCAGCTCACACTTCCCCCCTCGGAAAATCCTTGACTGTCATTGGTTAATGGGTTATTTTAGTACGCTATTTTTGTGGCTCTCACCAAGGGCGTCCCTATCATTCTATAAATAAGCTTGATTTGTGTGCTTGTGAACCTCGTATTTTCTGGGTGCTTGTAAAATATATCCTCTACATCCTATCAAGACTTCTTGATATAGTTAGCAGGGCATGAGACAACCGGATTAGAATAGCTTATCGTGTCACTGTATTGTTGACCTTCGTCCCGTTTACCGAGTAAGGTGAACTCGTAATAGCATTTAAGCATACCAAGTGACGAGCATATCAACTTATCAATTCACTACAGGTATATACAATGTAATCCGATAGTCTTTTAATAAAGATTAATAAACATTCAAAATATTCCTTTTAGAAGTTAACTGATTCATCAAACTAATAGTAAACTACACACATAGTTTGTCTTTATGCATGCATAATTTAAAATGAATCAGTTAACTATAAACAATAACATCTCTGTGATAATAAACAGTATGAAAATAAGTTTCCTCTATGATTTTGTTTCGCTTATCGATAATTCTCATCAAAGAAGATAATGTGAGCTGGATTAAATAAATATTTCTTTCTTTTTGAAACCATGAATCGATCCTGCGGGGTGTAGGAGTCGTGGATGCGCACTGCTGAGAAGTCCCATACCAGGACGAAACGGCCGTCCAGTCCTTCCAGGTTTCTAATGGTGGGTGGTCTAACAAAGATCGATTCATGGTTTCAATTTCATTCTTATTGACCTTTTCGATAGATCAGTCAGTCAGTTACACCGTAGAACATCATACGTACGGACATAAGTTTAAGTTACCATACCACAGTGCAGAGACGCAAGTGTCTGTTCAAATCCGGCAGTAGCAGAGATAGTAGGTGGAAGTAATGGAGAAGATTAGGATTCGAAGTATAGTTCAGTAAGATAAATTTAGAAAGAGAAAGATAGAGATAATGAGGAATTCAGAAGATTCGAATTTCAAAGAACACAAATCATATACACATTCTATTATGAACAGAATTTAACTACTTCTAACTAATTTTTCTAGCAATTTTAACCAACTCATACAATTTTATTATTTCAGATTTATGGTTAATTGATCAATTATCTGCAATATTATCTAGAGTTGAATTAAATCAACCATGGAGATCAATTAAATTACTTGAACCAGAATATAATTCAAGTATAGAAAGTCTGCAAGAATATACAAATGAAAACACTAAGAGCTCAATGTCTACATCATTACCATTATCTCAATCATATTTTAATATTTCAGCCAGTTATCGTTATTCATGTACTTTAAACTATTATGGTGAACATTGTAATCATTATTGTAAACCACGTGATTCAAAATTAGGTCATTATCAATGTCATCCACAAACTGGTGAATTAATATGTAATACTGGATGGACAGGAGCAAGATGTAATCAAGGTTAGTTATGAATTGATTTCAACTTTGACTTCGTTCGAACTTTTCAAGTAGTTTTCTCACTTTACGCCTGATTATATTTATTCTAAGATGAATATACCAAATGAACAGCTACTTTACACGCAAAAAACATTAGAATCTGGATCTAGATATTGTGTTGAATAATGCCAACTGGCTTAAAAAACACATAGATCCATGATTTCCTTTTGACTTCTTCCAACTATCCAGTTTTTAGATGAACTATACTAATGTTAAGTGTGTTCATCAAGTTAGCACAATTTCTAACAGTTTGAATGAAGAAATGAAAAGTGTAGTAAACTGTGATCGTTAATTTTTACTTTAGTTACTTTGATATCTAAAGATCTATTTGTATGGAGCTATTGAATGTTTCCATTCGTATGTTAAGAGTAATCCTTTGTAATATGTTTCAGTAGTTCGTGAACTGAATATTTCATTTATAACGATAAAACTCTTGTATCTACTTGATTAGTGATATGAAATTAAAATTATACCAAGTGATACAATGTATAGTTTGATAGTAAATATATACTCCGCAAATCTTGGATATGAACTTTCAGTTTCAGTTTGGAAAGGACTGGAGGTTGGATAACCGATGTTATGAATTATGTTGGTAAGTAAGTGAGGCAAGATGAATATACCAAATGAAAAGCTACTTCACAAGCAAAACATTAGAATCTGAACCTAGATATCCTGCTGAATAGGTCGATGATTTCCTCTTAAATCCTTCCAATTGTCCAACATCAAAACGCAATTTCCTAATTGAACTACATCATTTATTCTTTTATTTAATTCATAATACATGGTTTTGTTAGGATATTCATCCAATATCCTAAGAGGATTATTGGTCTATTCCTATTGCATTACTGGGTTGTGAAGATTGTTAAGTTACACATTTTTGAAACCATGAATCGATCAATGTTAGACCACCATTAGGAACCTGGAAGCACTAGACGGCTGTTTCGTCCTGGTATGGGACTAATCAGTGTCAGTGCACATCCAAGACTCCTACATCGAACCCATCACCTTCGGTATTGTGCGCGAACGCCTAACCATCGGACCACTAACCGGTATCTAACGATGTTAATGTCTAACTTGATCAAATTCACGGAGTTGCGCAACCTCATACACAGTCTTCGGTAGTTAGTGCCTACACCCGAACAGGTTGAACTTCATTGGTCACGTCTTCCCACTAGAACTCGGAGAAGATTCCTCACGAAGCTAGTCACTAGTGAGCACAGGTTGGTTAATTCCTACTCGTCAATTTTATGGTCGTCCTAGATATCAATGTCAGGTGATCCAATGTTGTTTATTATTGGTTGTCCTGACTATCAATGTCACTTCAATTGTTGCTTCCTATTGGTCAGTGCCACAGAATTCGATGCTTTTTCCTATTCGACTAAAATGTATAAATATGCATTATCTGTAATATTTTATGACCAGGGCTCGATCCCGGATCCCTAGTCCGGGATCCTGATTCTCTTCTGGATTCGGACCTCGTATTCTCTGGATGCTTGTAGAATACATGTTCTACTTCGTATCACGTCTTCTTATTTTTACTGAATATGGGGGGGTGGGATAATCGGATTTGAGTAGCATGTCGTGTCGCCGGATCCTCGATCCTCGCTCTCGTTTTCCGACTAGGTAAACCCGTAATAGTTCAAGTATATCAAGTTGACGTGTTTGCGTGCAGGCATAACAGGTTTGGTCTAGTTAACTCCGTCTTTTTAGCAACACAATCCATAACTTCTCAATCGAATATGAAGAGGTCCATCTTAACATTTGTAACTAATAGACGTACTAGAACTATTTATGTTCAAGTGATTATAGGAAGATATTTTCCAAATATTTTTGCGAATAATTTTCATAACAAATCGATAACTTTAGAGTTCATAAACTTTTCTCTGATAGCTTTGTTGATTTCATTCCTAACATACGTTTTGAATTAAACTATATCCCTTTTTTCCCTCAATTTTAGCACTGTGTAGAAAAGGTTGTAAACATGGAACTTGTGTTGGACCGGAATTATGTCTGTGAGTTGGATAAAAACATACTAAAACTTATTTATATGAGTATTCAAAAAAGATTGAAATTATCAGGTTTTCTTAATCTTGGCTTGAATTGTAACCGGTGTTTGCTGGCATATGTGCATCCTACGTGAATATTGCCTCAATATAGCTACACTTTACAAGTTTTAATAGAATAGGTGGATTTACGGATAGAAGTGTGACGATCTGGACTTCGCAGATGACCTGGCTCTTCTATCGCACACGCAACAACAAATGCAAGAGAAGACGACCAGTGTAGCAGCAGCCTCTGCAGCAATAGGGCTCAACATACATAAAGGGAAAAATAAGATTCTACGATACAACACAACATGCGTCAACCAAATCATTCTTGATGGAGATCCTTTGAAGGACGTTAACACCTTTGCATATCTGGGCAGCATCATCGACAACTAAGTTGGGTCCGATGCAGATGTGAGGGCGCGGATCGGCAAAGCAAGGGCTACATTTCTACAATTGAAAAATATCTAGAACTCCAAAAAAATATCAATCAACACCAAAACCAGAATTTTCAATACAAATGTCATGACAGTTCTACTGTATGGAGCGGAAACATGGAGAACTACCAAAGCCATCATCCAGAAGATACAAGTAGTTATTAAAAGTTGTCTACGCAAAATACTTCGGATTCGTTGGCCAGACACAATGAGCAACAACTTACTGTGGGAGAGAACAAACCAGATTTCAGTGGAGGAGGAAATCAGGAAGAAGCGGTGTAAGTGGATAGGACACACACTACGAAAAGCACCTAACTGCGTCACAAGACAAGCCCTCACCTGGAACATTCAAGGCAAAAGGAATTGAGGAAGGCCAAGGAACACATTATGCCGAGAAATAAAGGAAGATATTAAAAGAATGAACAAAAATTGCACAGAACTGGAAAGGGAAGCCAAGGACAGAGTTGGTTGAAGAAAACTGGTGGGCAGCCTATGCTCTATTAGGGGCAACGGGCGTAAGTAAGTAAGTGTGATTCAAAATGTGCGTTTTTTGTGAAATCGGAAGCGAAGTCAGAACCCTCAGGTAAGCACTTTGCCTTTAGACCAAATAGTTAGAAATCAATTGTTTACACTCCACTTTTCAACTATTTAGAAATCTTGTACGGAATGAAAATAATTTAATTAAACTATCAATGTAAATCTCATCAGTAAACAGGTAATCATAATCAAAGACAGACAATAGAACTTGGTCAGTTGTTTTTAGATTGATCT